AATTTAAAAAAGTAAAAAATATGGAAATTAAAACTTAAAAAGAAATTTTAAAAATTGAAATATAATTTTTTTAAAAAATATAACCTCAAATAAAAGATAAATAACCTTAAAAAATTAAAATTCACAACAAAATTATTTTCAATAATGCTCCTAACTCTTTCAATTCTCAAAACTTTCATCTTCAATAAAATTAATCAATTTCAAATAATAATTCATTGTCTCCCATCAAAAAAATACAACAAAAACCTATTCATGGGTATCAAAAAAGTTGTTATTACATTTCAAGCTATAAAATTTATGTTTTCTATTCAATTTTCATCAAACACCAGACGCAACATGAAAGATTATGATTAACATGTGCTCATTCACATATATAACTCCTCAATAATTTCCAAAAAAATTTTTTGTGTATCATAATACGTATTGACAGACACGAAGGTTATTGTGAGGGGTTGAGACTTGTTTATTATATTGCATTATTAAAATATAAAGTATGCAAAAAAATCCTTTTAACATAAGTGGTGTCCTGGAAAAATGAATGAAGATGATGTAAAGCACATGATAAACCAGTAGCAGCAACAATAAGGAGTACTTTTATGAATATTATGCAACAATATACATAAGTGGAATCTGTTTAAACATTTCAGGCAGGAAAAGAAGGATGCATTTTGAGTTTGGGGAGAAATTGGTTTCATGTTTTGACTATTTAAAGTTTAACGAATGTTTAGGATTTGAACCATCGCATCTTTTACTGCATCAAATGAAGCAAACACGTTTGTTGACTAAAAAACATTTTCTTAATAAATTGTTCAACTTAAAGATCTTTTACAGGATTTTGAAGATTGAAAAGCTATAAATCGGTAAGTAATCGTTGGATAAGTGCAGTTAAGTGCCTTGCTGGTCGAATAGGTAAGGCGCTTGGCTCAAATTTGGGATGGTAGCTCGAAGGTCGTCGGTTCGAATCCAGCCATTTCCAAATTTGTTTTTTTTTCAGAAGTTTAGATACTTCGACTGCTTAATGTACGAGATCAAGCCATAATTGGGCATTTTGGGAAACGTTGGATTAAGAAACGGATCAGGAACTTGAAGTGTAGCGGGAGAAAAAGAAACGAGAGCTACAAGATTACCGTATAATGGAATATTGTCAGAACGGACTTGAAATGTATCACGTTACGCCCACAGAAGATTGAAACGAGAGCCTGAATTTAATCGAAACCTAGATTTGAAGATTAGAAGCTTGATTCTACGTCACCCATAGTGATAGGAAATGTATCACTAATCAATGTAAAAAGTAAAACATGTGTAAATACTAATTCTTCCGGACGGTAACGTCGACAAATAAATAATAAAGTTATTAAATATTCAGAACAATAAAAAAGGCCATCGAATTTGTTCAAAAAATTGGAATTTGTAAGCATTTATCAAAGCTAATCCAGAAAGATGAAATTCTTCAGTTTTAAACGATTGTTAATCAATAAAGAGCTAGATCTGTGCTTCATTATACAAGGAATATCAAGATCAGATCTAAACTTTTGAAGATTCAATGTAGAACATCACAAGAACCAACTCAAATCCAGCATAAATTACAAACAGAAAATTTTCCCATCCAAATTACAAAAGTGCCCAACTAAGGCGATGGGGTGGAAAAACACATGACACAAAAGAGAACAGCAAACGAGTAAAATTCATTACAATTTTTATGCACGAAATGAGGGGTTCATGTGAATGAGAAACTGAGTCTTTGTGTCTCTCTTCTTTTTTTTATTATTGCCTTACAATATTCATTTGGGAATTTGTTTTATTTAGTTCCTTTTTTTTTTGTGTATTGTAACTGCGATGTGTCTTGAATGTCATGAGAGTTAATAAATAAAACATAACAACATAATTGTTAAATTAACAGAAATAAAACATTGTGAATGCGATGTGAAACTGTTTTTTTTTTTTTTTTGCAAAGGATCATTGACTCTCGACTCTGTTTGATGTTTTTTTTAAGAATGTGAGTCAAGTGCAGGTCGTTTAAAAAAATTAAAAATGAGGGGTTGAAATATTATGAGGGGTTTATCACACGAGTATTTAATTTCAATAGAAGCTCACTCCTGTAAAAACATCACACTAAGGGGTACAAGTACCACTCAGATTACATGATAAACCAATTTTCAAATTGCTCACTTGATTTATCGTTCCTATTGTTAAAATTTTATTTGATAGTTTTATTAACTAACGTATGTTCTGAAATGATGTTTTGGGATTTGATCTTAAGCATCAACCCTCGCTAGAATAATTACACTTTGATATAGAAAGTAGGTAAATGAGATGTGAGGAGATAACAAGTGAATAATTGTTTCATTGTTAAGGCACAGGGCTCTTCACTTTCGACATTTATTGATGATATTTTAATTGAATTTACTTTAATTTTTCCGGCACGTGGATGTGAAAGTATCTTTTTTTTTGGAAATTGATTAATATTTTTTTGCTTTTCGTTTATAAAATGTTGAACAGCATTTGGATCTTTTCTTTCGGTTTCTAGGATCTCCTCGAGTTACCCAATGCTGAAGAACCAAGAAAACAACTTCAGAACTGTACCCTAATGTAAATTGAACTAGGTTTTCTGAATTGCAAAGAATTATGAAAAATAAAATTTAATATAAAGTTTAAAGTTCAATAAAAAAGCTAAGATTAATATTTTTGCGCATTAAATCTTTATTTAAAATTGTATACTTATATTTTTTCATTTACATGATTTATTAAACTATTGCCAAATAATATTGTTTTTTTTCCTTATCTAAATATCTTAATAAGTAATTAGTACAGGGTTATCGATTCAATTTGCATAAAATTTTGAATTCTTTTGAATTATTGAAATTAAGGATTTTAAAATGTAAGTTTGAAAATCTTTTTATTTCAAAATCCAGAGCTGGAAGTCGACTCGAGTTGACTCGAAAAAAGTTGAGTCTACACGATTTTTGAGTCAACTCGAGTCAACTCGAGTCGACTCGAACCCTATCGACCTCGAGCTTAAAATCTTTAGATTTTATAATCATTATGGTCAAAAATTCAAAAGAATTTAAAACTATACGCATATTTTCAGAATCTTTCATATTTAAAAACCATTATTAAAGAGCATAAAGATTAGCGTACATATATAGTCGATTCAACAAGGCATATGTCGTTATCAAAATTTTTATATTATTATATTACATGATAGAATTAGATTTTAAATTATTTTGGAAAATATTGAGCTTAATTTTCAAGCGGATACTCCAGTGTTTCTCAAACTATGCTTCGAGGAACTTTACTGTTCCAAAATTCTAGATGTGTCATTATAGTGGTTGCCAGCATGGCACGGAAACAAAAATGTTCCTTTACTGCTCTGCAGTCTAAAAAGTTTGAGAAACACTGTCATAGACCCGATCGGCACACATTCAAATTCATTGAATGGGGTTGATAGTATAATTAAACCCAAGCGCCATGTGTGCTTGTGTGCTGCTCGGGAAAGTCAACCATATTGTAACATGAAGTATATTCAAGAAACTAAGCCAATCCAATATGCCCCGATATTTCCAACCAAAACAAAATCAAAATGTGAAAATTAATTTTGTAGCGTTTTTGATAAGAAAATTTTTTAGAATTAAATCGATTTATGATTGTGTTTTGTCTAATATTTCCTTAGTAAAGAGAAAAAGACTTAGACTAGGTTTTAAGCTAGTTCAAAATTAGTGTTAATCTTCTTTTTAACCAGCTTAAAGCTATTCTTATTTTAAAATTAAGGTTAAAATTACTTTGAATTAGCTAAAACCAAGGCGTGGAAACTAAGGATTAATTTTGAAAAATCCCCTTTAAATCCCGAAATTATTCATCAAAAGCATAGGGATTTTTAGGATTTTTCAGGATTATTCCTTAGTTTCCAAGCTTTGGCTAAATCCTGCTCTAAGCAAGATAGACTCTAATTTTGAACTAGTTTAAACCTAGTATAAGTCTTCTCTTTATTGCTAAGGTTTATGAGAGACTATTTGCATTTAGATTTATAATAGGAATCTAGCGAATATACTTTTGTTTTATAGTCATAGACCCGAGGAGCACAAGTCGGATATTCGAGACGATATCCTAGGTCAAGACGAGTTCAAGGCGAATTTTTCGTGTGACAAGAAGTTTGTCCTCAGTCGTATTAGCCTAAGATTTCGTTTCGATTATCCGACTTGTGCTATTCGGGAGATTGTTTTAAAATCATTTTTTATAGCTAATTGACAATGTTGCTATCAAAATCTCAAAAATGTACATTAAGACTCAACAGGAGGATTTGTTCCTCAATGTATTTCCACTTTACAAACCTAATCATTTCCTAGATTCCTAATACAAATCTATCCTCAATATTCTCAATACTATCCTTTTTAATAATTTTATTTTTTACAAATTTATTTCACTTTAACATATTTACATTAGAATTTTTCATACTCAAAATTAAGTGCGAAATTATCTCCACAAAATAGAAATGAAAATTCCATCACTTTATACAAATTTATTTTCTGAGATCTACAGAGCAATAGCATCAGCATAAAATATTTTATATTCTTGCCATAAGCTAATCATGATTATAATTTTTATTTTGTTAAGATCTAACGATGTCTCTATTATTGCTTAAAATTCTCTTTTGTGAATTCTTAGAAAATGCTTTAATTAATCACTTTACACCAGTGTTGTCCAAACTATGTGCCGCGGTACACTGGTGTGCCATAGAAATTGTTTGTAAATTACGCGAGCCGCATGCTGTGTGCGACTTTGGTATTGGATTACCACTAAGGTGTACCGTGGCTCAAAAAAGTTTGGACAACACTGCTTTACACTAAAAAAAATCATCTCAATTTAAGGATGAAAATGAGTAAAATATATTTGCAATGATCGTGCTTATGGTTATGTGAATGTTAAAATTACCTATTTGAAAAAGTACAGAACAAAAAAAATTAAAATTTTTTATATTTTTACACTTAAACTCTAATAAAAATTCACTGTACACTGTGTGGCTCAGGTGGCGGTGCTGATGGTGCCCATGGCTGTAAACCGTGCAATGCTGCAAGCGGTGCACCATTGCTTGTATGCGGTACAGATGATGGACCCCCGAAACCTTTACTTAATGCTTCTGCTTGTAATGATAACATTAATCGATTTGCCGCTTGCCTTTCAGCTTCTCGTTCCTCAGCTGTTTGTCTTCTGCAAGGAAATGAAAGAGAATTAGGTTAATTAAATTTTATATATATTTTGTGGGGTAGCTTCCATACAAGCATTCATGACATCAATTTATATTGTTGATAGGATTCATATTTCATACATATACGGTAAGGATGTTAGGATATCACATTAAATATTCATCATACAAAACTATTCTCCTCATATCAATTACGTATGTAGCTTAAAATGTGTCAGCCTCTGCGGCTTTCAACAGAATATGAAAGATTCTTCAATTAAAATGCAATTAATTATGTAAAAAAAAGTTGTCAGCATGCGCAATTTTCTTCGTCATTAGCACCATTTTTCCGCATATTGCACATAATCCAAAAGCTACCTTAACATCCGCATATTTTCATTCTGTAGCTTAACTACTAAAGCGCATAAAATTATTAATTGAAATGTTAATTGAAACCGACAAATTTCTTCCTACTCAACTCGACTGTGGTTTTTTTTTAAAAAAAATAATTTTTTTCACGCCCCGTAAAACTCTATCGCCGTTGCTACTGCTTGCTGATGGTTCTTTTTCTTGATTAATTAATTTTCTGTTTTACTAAACATTTTGAAAAACCACACAGAAAAAACTTTTTTTTTGTGCTATTTTTGCTAGTCTTTTGAGTGGCTTTACATAATTTTGTTACTAAAGTTGTTGAATAATTAATGATTGGTATTATGGAAATTAATATTTTTTTAAGGAATGGAATGGAGAAAATGATAAGAATTGATTAATTTTTAATTAAATTGGTATGGAAATCGAGATGGGGGAGGGGATTTAAATGGTTCTGGTTAAGTAAGAATTTTTGAAACTTTTAGGGACTGCTTAACATTTTACAGAGCTCAAAAGTCGATGAAATTTTGTATGGAGTCAAATCCGCCAGACAAAATCGATAAAAATCTCGAGTAGACTTCGAACTCTGACATTTCATTAGCAAAAGTCATTTCGATGGGAATTGAACTAAAGTCTTGATATAAAAAAAAACTTATGGTTTAATCGATTTCTTTGCAAGCCTCAAAAGACCAAGACCCCGGTTGTCTTGCTACGTCCTTAACTTAAAGTTGCATTTTTTGATGATATTCGAAAAAGTCTAGTCGACAGTACCAATTTGTTAGGAAGTTTGACTTTAAAGTCCCTTAGTCTATGCCTTTAGATCTAACACTATGCAGAAGTGTAGCCAGTGGGTCTGGATCCCCTCTCCCTGAAAGTTTTGAACTACAGCAAAAGCACAGGGTTCTAGACCATCCTGGCTAATCCACTGACACCATGTACCCATCCCAACCAGGGTTGCGATCTGGCGCGTAGCCAGGGAAGGGGGGGATTTGGGGGGCAAATCTCCCTTCGTCTTGAGAAATTTCTTCATTTTGCTAGAGTTATTATGTAAAACTCGAAAAAATCCCCCCCCCCCTAAAAGTTTTCCATACAAAAAATTGCCCCCCCACCTTTAAAATCCTGGCTTCACCCCTGGTTGCGATACGGGAACCTATGCACGTGAGAACCGTACAATTCCTTAATAATTTAAAAGATTTTAATAGAATTTGTATGGTTTTGTTAGAAAAACCTCATAAATTATCAAGGAATTGTACGGTTCTCACAGGTGCCTGTATCGCAATCCTAATCACAACCACACCTCAGCTATCAAAAAAATTCTTTTATTTAATCCAGTTATATTATTCTATTCAAAATTATTATGCACAATTTTTAAAGCACAATTTTCCAATAATTTATGTCCAAAAACAAAACACAAAACAGCAGCTATAGCATCATAGCATAGCTGTATGTCTCACGATCTATTTTCAGCATAATATTTTTTCTTATTTCAGAACGACTCATTAAAAATTCATCCACAAGATAATGGCAGATGATGGGACTTTTTAAACAAAACAAAAAAAAAGTGAGCAAAGGAAGTCACTTAAAAATAAAACTTTGTCGTGGAGGGAAAAAAAATTTTTTTCGTTATCGATTTTTTTCGTCGTGAATAAAATGCTTTAAAAAATATTTTTTTAGATCCTATCACTAGAGAGCAATTGCCATCATCAAAAATTAAATAATAATCATATTAAAAATGAAAACATTTTGAAATCAAACAATGGCTGGAACACACACTCTCACGTACCGTCCAACAACAACAAAAAAACTTAATTTCCTCTGTTTTTTTTCGGTAACTCATTAAAAAAATAATTCCCGTTCTCTTTTGTGGCCCAATTTGCCGACGCACAAAAAATATACACACACAAAAAAATGGTGGAAAATTAAACTCGAATCATATTTTAATGGAACGAGCACGTCATGGCAATGAGAACTCTTTTTGTTGTTAGATAATCAAATGTAAATTGGAACATAAAGAGCAAAAGAAGGAAGATTAGCAATTTTAATGATTGTTAATCATGATGAAGATTGTTGAATTTAGTTTTGGTTTTTGATATGCAGGTTCCTTGAACTTTCAAACTTGACAGATTTTTTGTGAATTAAGTTCTTGATTTGAACAGGGTTGCGATACAGACATCTGTGCACAGGTGAGAACCGTACAACTCCTTGATAATTTATAAGGTTTTCAACAAAACCATACAAATTTCAATAAAACCTCACAAATTATCAAGGAATTGTACGGTTCTCACCTAAGCACAGGTGCCTGTATTGCAGCCCTGGATTTGAATTAGAGTAAAATTAAATTTTAAATGATTCTAATAAACTTAATAAGCTATCGAGGGGTTTCTAAGGTTGATGTTAAGTTGAGGACCCAGAAAAAAATTACCATGCTGAGTTTTGGATAGTAAATCATGTCCCTAGTCCAGTGGATAGTCTACTCTAGCACCCTAAAGCCTCGACATGTAAAATACTAGTTCCTAAAGTCAAAAATTTAACAACCTCAAAATTATAGCTTCCTTTCAATCCAATTGAATCCACAACATTAAATCGCATCAATAATTTTCTTCATGACCCTCAAAAATTTCGAATTAAAATAACAATTATATCGCAAATATTTCCAATTTCCTTTCCTCTTCGTTTTCACTTTTAAAACCAATTTTCCATACATCAAGCACAAAGCAGAACAGATGAGAAATATCAACATAAATGGAAAAAGAGGGATGCGAGAAAATGGAGAAGAAGGAAAATCAATAAATGATGAAGTTTTGCAAATGGCTATGGTTACAGTGCGAGCAGCAATCTGACTTTTACGCGATGAATTTGCTTTAATAATTAATTTTGTTCTTCTTCTGTGGAATCTGGGGATTGAAGTTGGTGGTTTAAAGTTATGGCTAATGTTGGGTATTTTTAAGATTTGCTGAAGCTTGTATCGTACTTCAAAAATTCTAAATCCAATCATAAAGTCAATTATGATCTCATGGATTTACTTCTTTATCTTATCTAACCTATATCTTCCTGATACCTTCCTTATCATTTGAAAGATCAAAATGTTATCAATAAACTTTAATCAGTTCCAACATGAATTTCATACTATTCACATCATTTCTGCTGACTCTCAGCTTTTGTTCCACATTTCAGGAAGAAATATCAAGTTATGTTATAAACGGCGAGGATGCTAGAATTGAGGACCATCCATATATGGCACATGTCTACAGCCTCATGTTACCAACTTGTGGTGGCTCGATTCTCACAAGACGAAGCGTTTTGACTGTAAATTAAGGTTCAATTTCACAACATTCTGAAACTAATATTTTGTAATTCCCTAGGCTGCTCATTGCTTAATCTTTCGAATTTCTCAACCAGCTTTAGTGTCAGTAGTCGTTGGTACAGCATATAGAGATGGAACAGGTGGAACTAGCTACAGATCAGCAAGAATATTATTGCATCCAGATTATGTAGCAGGTCCAAATGTTTACGATATTGGAATAGTCAACACAGCTAGAGCAATTGAATTCGGTCCACTTGTACAGCCAATTCAACTTGGAACTGATGAATATATTGGAGTTGATGTTCCTGGTGTCTTTACTGGATGGGGTTTTATTGGGTACGGGGGAATATTGCCACGACGAGCAGTTACATTACAGAAAATGTACACTAGAACAATTGCAAATGATGATTGTAAGGAAAGATACAGCGTGACTCATCGTGGAGACTACATTTTTGATCAGAAGCTTTGTGTTGTCAGTGGACCAAGAACTTCCGTGTGTGGAGGGTAAGGAACTTCAATTTTTATCGATTGAAAATTGATTTCAAATATTTTTTTCATATTTCAGAGACTCAGGAGGTCCATTAGGTAAGTTGAACTAGAAATCTTAAGGCTTGATCCATAAATTGACACAAATTTTACTTCCAGTGATTAACGGAACAGTTGCAGGTGTGATTAGCTGGAGAACGTTCCCTTGTGGAGATGGATTACCAGGTAAGTCACTCAAGTTCAGCATTGAAGTTAAAATTGCCTTTTAAAAATGTATGAAGGAAATTCCAGTACGTGTTAAATTGCATGTAAATTACATGTAATAATAGAGCGGATGCAAGTACAGCAAAGCGCAATATTAAACAGAAATGCAATTAATTATTGTTACTGGAATTTTAATTCTTGCAAGTGTGCTGCTGCTGTGTTGTGTTTATTTATATAAAGTTGTGACCTATTTTGTTATTCTGAACACAATGGGTCTGTTGTAGCTGATTTATAGGCAGTTCTTTTTGTGATTCATTATAAAATTTGAATGATTTTGAACTTTTAATTTCAATAATTTATCAAATTAATTTCAGACGTCTTCATTCGCATATCTGCAGCTCGCGATTGGATCAACTCTGTCCTTATTTTTCAATAACAAGTCAAAAACTGTGTCACGCAAATAAAAATAAAAAGAAAAGTTTAAGCTGAATCGTATTTTAAAAAACTTTAGATCTTTAATCTTCATTCATGGAACTAGTTTTTATCTCATATTAACTTTTGCTATCTTATCAACTTCTTTATCTTGATTATCAACTGCTAATCTCAAAAAATCAGCTGATTAAGATCAGTTACAACATGAAGTTCATTCTATTCACATCATTTTTGCTAGTTTTCAGCATTACTTCCTCATTTCAGGAAGAAATATCAAGTTATGTAATAAATGGCGAGGATGCAAGGATTGAAGAGCATCCTTATATGGCACATATCTTTACTATGATGTTTGCTACATGTGGTTCATCAATTATTACGTCACGAAGTCTTCTTACAGTAAGTTACTTAATATTCTCAGCAAAGATTCTTAAACAATTCATCCCAACAGGCTGCACATTGCCTCACAACCGTCATCTCCCAACCAGCTTTAGTCTCAGTTGTTGTAGGCACAGCATACAGAAATGGAACAGGTGGAACAATGTACAGAACATCAAGAATTTTCCTACATCCAGGCTATGTATCAGGACCAGAACTTTACGACGTTGCAGTTGTTCGAACATTAAGACAAATTGAGTACGGCCCACTTGTACAGCCAATTCCCCTTGGCACAGATGAACTTATTGGAATTGATGCGCCAGGCGTTTTTACTGGTTGGGGATCGATTGGATATGGAGCAATTTTCCAACGTCTTGCAAGTACGATGCAGAAAATGTACACAAAGACTATTTCAAATGATGATTGTAGGAAAAGATACAGCGTGACTGATCGTGGTGATTACATTTTTGATCAGAAACTTTGTGTTGTCAGTGGACCAAGAACTTCAGTTTGTGGAGGGTATGAAGGTTAGATTTTGATAAATTTTTAAAAGTTGAGAATTTCCTCTAATTTTCCAGAGACTCTGGAGGTCCACTAGGTAAGTCTCAGTGCTGCTTTAACATTAACATTCTATCCAGGTCATGTCCAATAGCTTCAAAACATGAAATTTCTATTTTTGTAACAATTTTATTTAACAGTAATTGACGGGAGAGTGGCAGGAGTGTTAAGTTGGAGGACATTCCCTTGCGGAGATGGATTGCCAGGTCTGTAACTCTACATAATTTTATAAATAATCTCACTCTCAGCAATTGAGAATAACTGCATAATTTATTTTCAGATGTCTTCATTCGCGTATCTGCAGCTCGTGATTGGATTAATGCTGTTCTCGTATAATTTAATACAAGACAAAAATGTGGGATTAGCAAAACTTTTTATTGCACGTGAATCAATCAATCATCGTAAAATTTAAAAACAAATCTGTTTGCGATAAGATGAGGAATTGCGTTTTGAAACAGTCAATAAAGTTTATTCTTGAATAACTCATCATTTTTTTAAGTGTAATGACCACACAGAAATTGGTTTTTTTATATCTTACAGATTTATTGGATGAAAATAAAGAATGGAATGTTTAACGGTATCCTGACATGGATTTTGAAAGCATGATAAGATTGAGAAAGTTGAGAATTGATGCATTAACATCATTTATGATTTTGACCACACTATTCGTCCTTTCTTGTCTACGCTAGTGAGGCTGGCTTTTAGGATACATTTAACTATCAAATATCAATGAAATCGCGTCAAGAGCAGTGATGTTCAACCTGTGTGCCGCGGCACACCAGAAAGAAAAGAACAATAGAAATCCCTGGAAATCTTTTGTTCTTTTTTGAAAAATGACCGTTTATTTCGGACGCCCCTAAAGTATTTTATTCTAAACCACAATCCAGCAATTAGAAGCAATAAAATTAAACCATCAATCCACACTATCTTGATTTTCTCTCTATGCAAGTTCCCCACCCATCCTCTCATCCACAACCGCCCAAAAAACCCATTACAATCATTTTAAAATTTCATCAACTCAATAGATGGTCATGAGAAGCAATTTATCAAGAGACAAATGTCATCAAGGCACTCAATTATGCATTTTCAATTGCACAGAGATTTTCATACATATATCACATACTTTACAGTCTCCCCTCTCACACATAAATCCATATTAAAATTTTAATTGCAATTTTTATTGTCAAACTCACCTCCACTTTGTCCTTCGATTCTAAATAGCGATAGAAATAAATAAATATTATTGAAAAATCAATAAGCAGAAATTGCCAGCAATCGCTTACCTGAAACCAAGTTTTAACTTGTGCATCTGTCATTTTAAGTCCCCTCGCTAATGCTGCACGCTCAGCCGATGCTAAATATTTTTGCTTATGAAATCTTTTCTCTAATTCAGCAACTTGTATGCGGGTGAATGATGTGCGTGGCTTTTTCCTCTTTGGTGGTGTTCGATTCTGATATGGATGTCCGATGCGTCGGGCAATTGGAAAGGCTGAAATGAGAATTTATCAATAATAAATGATTAGGTTTGAGAAAGTAATTGGACGATCGAAACTATTTCATGTTTTTTCGGGGGGATTTAATCATTATTAATATTAAATATGAAGTTTCTTTTTTTTTCGACGATGATTGGAATTGGTCGTATGCTTATGTGTGTGGTAGGAATTACAAATGGAATGGGAAAGGTGCAGAGAAGTTATAATCATCGATGTTAAGCATTTCGTAATTTTATTACCATCCCCTTCATTCCTCATAAATATAATTCAAATTAGTTTTAATATTATACGAGGTAAATTGTAGAAAATTATGTTTATTAAGTCCTCAAAATGAGGCAACAGCAACCATTGCTATATCCATAGACAAACACATTTATACATGTTGTGGTTTCATTTCACTATAAACATTAATTTCGATTAAAATGTTGATCAATTTTGCTGTTTAATTTTGCGTTGTTAAATTTGTTTTGTTAAATGAGGCAGGTAATCTGCACATGTGTGTAAATGATGATGTGGATGAATTAATGGGAAATAAATTGGATTTTTATGTCTGATGAAAGAAGTTTGTTTTGATTTAAAATTTTTGAGGTTATGATGTGAGGAGATTTAGTTTCGAGCTTATAATTTTATGGTTTTTAACCTTACTAGATTGGAATTTAAAACTTAGTTTTTGAAAAACTAGACATTAGGGTCTATTAGTCTATTCAAAGAACGGTTTGATCAAGGTCTATCGACTTGTGACATCCAATTTGTCTAGCTTTTCAGAAATAATTCATAAATCTCAGTTTTTGGAACCTTTGAATGAAAATCAAACAAAATCTTTAACTTATAGGTTTGTCACTAGTCAACCAAAGCCTAGCTGTCTTTTTAAAAGCAACATTCGTCAATAGTTTCATTCGATAATGTAATAGAATCTATATGAAAGAAAGGTTATGGATTAATTTGAAAATGGTACTCACAATATAGGTTTGAATTTTCTCTGAAATGCTTCTCTTTCATGTATATTTCTGCAATAAATTCAGAAAATATACAAATGTATCACTAAATGTCAGAAATATGTGTTTATTGTCAGTTCTTCTAAACTATTTGTTAAAAGAGATTTATTTGTTTGGATTGAGAGTTTTGTGAATTGTTATTTGAGAATATTTATGAAGAAAAACTTTGAAGCCTGAAAAATTGGCGAATAATATCGATTGAACCCTTTTCTGGTGGGTATAAATGCTAATAAAAGATAACGTATCTTATTTTTCGAAATCAAAAAAAAACTATATTCGAAAAAGATTTGCTTACATTTTAAATTGAAATTTTATTCTAGATTCAACTTTATTTCATGTATTTAAGATTGTTAAATAGTTTTAATGCATTACTTAACTTCAAATAATGCTCCTAAAAGCAAATTGAAGTATTAAGCAGCATTAATTAAAGAAAAAATTGTAGTTCAGTATTTCGAATGTTTTTCGAACATATTTGTTGTAAACAAACTCGTAATAAATTGCGGGAAATTTCAAATTTCTGAAAAAATAACGGAAAATTTTTTCATCTTGTCTTGGCATAAATGTTAATAATTGTTCTAATTCTAATATTTATTAACACACTTTCAAAATAGATTTCTAAAATTTATCAGAATTCATTTTCAATTATTCAGAATAAATTTTCTAAAAAGAACAATTTCAATCCTTTCTATTTGCAACTTTTCAGCAATTCAATATCAATTTCTCAAAGGATTATCTGAGATTTAAAATCAGTCATTGTAATCATGACTGACACTTACTTTAACAATATAATAAGGAATTATAAGAGTTGTTCTACGATAAATTAAAGGTTTAATAACAAATTCCCTCATTTTCCTTAAATCTTAAAAATTCGTTTCGAGAAGGAAAAATCAGCAAGACAAAAACTTCACAAATCAATTAATTAAATCACTCTCAGACTCTTTTTACTATCATTTTATCTCGAAAAATTTCTTCCATTTTTAAATTTGACATCCACTTAATGAACATTTTGTAGATTATCGATCCTTCTCTTTCAAGCTATCAATTTTAATCACACAGCGAAAAACTAATTGACGATTAAATATGCAAAGGCGCTTAGTATTCAATTAAGTTACAAATTAATAGGCCTAATTGGTTTTCATCATCTCAATATCGTTTGTGTGTAAAAAAAAAATTAATCCTCATCTCACTCCTCTTCAAACGGCTTTTAAGATTTGCATGCGATTAATTTATTTAATTTTTTATTTTTTTCGCTGTTAACACATCGCAAACTAAGAGACAGAAAACATGAAAAAGCAGCACACAAAATATATTTATGTAAAATGAAATGAAGTGAAATAAATTGCGAAGAAAATTGAAATCAATTTCATTTAATTCAAAAAAGAAAAATAAGTGTTTAATGTATTTTTGTGTCAGAAGATGAAAGAGTTTGTGTCGCGTCTTGTTGGGAAGAAGATTTTTGTCTGGTGTACTTAAAGGATTATGGCACATTTTTGACAGAAAACTGTAGAAACTGAGAAGTGGTTTAAAATTAAACGTTAGGTGTATTTGCATGATTTACATGTGTTTCGAATTAGTCATTAAAGATGTTATTTAAACAAAATGTCTTAGATTCTTATTTTTAACTCATTTTTGAAAACTTTTTTTAATTCACTTTGTTCGGTCGGGTGCTCGGGTGAAGAAAAACTTTTAAACTAGACATCGTAGAGACCTCATATTTGTTTTATAAGCTCAGATTCATCGTTTTATTCCGTGGTCGTGCAGATAAGTCTTTAAACAGTGTAATTATACTGTAATTAATGATTTTTTATTTTATCTCGTATAAAAAACACGTGTTGAGTACGTCCAGAAATTTGAAATTATTTTTTGTCGTTATAAAAATTGTTCAGTGTTTGTTTAGAAATTCTAATTTTGTTTCTACCGTATCAAGATGCATAAAGCTTTGACAAAACGGTTCATAACTCATGAAATGTCAAAGATCTAAGATTCGAAAGCATTTTCATTATAATAAAGCTGTGAACCGGTTTTAAAGGCTATTTGAGATTCTTTAGGGTAGGATTAGAACTTGAAAAACTACAGACTAGGCTTAGGAGCCTCAACTTTCCCGAAAAACTAATCCTTAAAGTTTAAATTAAGATTCGAACTAATCCAAGGATGAGATTCTCTGTCGTTTTAATTCTTATTATTCATTTTGAGCTGATAAAGTGACAATTTGCGTTCCTAGTCTAAACCAATGAACCACCTATCCACAACTCTAATTTAACTTCAATCATTTCATCTAATTTCGAGATACTTTTAAAAAAAAGTTAAAATTATTACAATTCATCTAAACTAGTGTTGTTCAAACTTTTTGAGCCACAGTTCACCTGAGTGGTAGTCCGCGACTGAAACCGCACGTAGCATGCGGTTCGTTACATTTTACTGTGTACCGTGGCACACAGTTTAGACAGCACTGATTCTAACATCCAACAATTCATGCATTAATACCGGAAACATAAGCAATTTAATTCCCTTAAATGCCATTTCCAATTTAAATTAATTGCCATCCTTTTAAAAACATTTTTTTTTATTCAAAGAAAATTCAAAAAATTAAAATTTTTTAATCTCCTCATTTCATCTCCATTACATAAATAATTTGTAGAATTACTTTTATTTTTCGTTTGCTTGTTAACGCATTAAGCAGCGCGGTAAGAATTAAAAGAAGAGAAATGTAAAAGAGCAAGACAAGAATGCCCAGTAGCTGAATAAATAACATTCAATACATGAAAACACCTTTTTTTCCAATCGCAAAAGCAATTCCATTTAGAAAAGAGTCATGAATGAGCCAGAGCTGAGAGAGAAAATATCTCATGCTACACGTCAAACGCAATCGATGTGCTCGATCTCTTTAGGCATTTTTAATTCGACTTGTGTTTTGGTTGGCTATGAGGCACACACGGACGAATTATCTTCTTGATATCGTTTGGCGCTATAAAAAATTATTTTATTCGTCATAATGAATGTGTGTGCACATGACTAGAGGGTACGTTTGGCACAGTAGCTACATCACATTTGCGACAATAAAATGAAAAAACACAACAAAAAAAATTAATCATAATGACCATCAATCATCATCTCTTTGTCTTTTGTACATGAATCATTGCATGGATGAAGATCAATTACGAACGAATATTTTTATTGTCTCATTCTTGGAAATTATTGCTGATCTCCTTTTGTATGCGACCTCACTGACGTGTCTTTAATTGCAACACGGGCTTGTGTTATTTTTGGATATGAACAAATAAAATACCGGAAATTATTTCATTTCTTTTGTTTTTATTTCTTCAATGGGAGATGAAATTGTTAATAATAATGACAGGAACGATGAGCACGATACAAAGTTAGATGAAGTTTTAAATTGCATTGGACGAGTGGGGAATGTCAAAATTTATTTGATGGACAGATGGTTTTTAATTTTGGATGTTGATTGAACGACTTTTTTGCACGTTTGAATTTAAATTGACAATATTACACTTGGCATTGATAATTGGCAAGCGGTAGTAAGTGATAGAGCCAGCTATAGGTTCCATCTAAGGGAGGCCATCACAATTGTTCTGGACGGCCAGAAAAGTAAAGAATTAGGTAATTTAAATTGGCATTTATTGAGAAATTTTGAAAGATTCTGTATTCAGAAGTGTTGTTTTTGGAAATCTAATATAGATTTGGTATCAATTAGTTTCAGAACATTCAAATCTGGTTAATTAAGGTATAGTAATGCATTTATAACTTCATTCTGTCTGAATTCGATAAAATACATGAATAACTTTGTGGCAAAAGCTAGTCATAAATCGTAAAGTGTGGGTTCGATTCCTATATGTAAAATAAAGTTATAATCAATTCGATTCGAGAAAAATCAAAATGGACAGACTTCGAAGGGCTGGAAACGCTATTAGTAGAACTGTTGACGCTCCATTAAATAAGGTTTTCAAATCCGATTTTGTAGATGGATAGAGATCACGTGGAAGGCTAAAGAACTCATGGAAAGTGGCTGTTGATAGTGACAATGCTGCATTTAGAATCGGCAATTGGCAGACAGTATCCAGCGATAGAGCTGGTTTTAGGGGACGACTAAGAGAGGTCATGGATCACAATTGATCTGAACGGCAAAAAAAGTAAAGTAATCAATTCGATGTTTAAATTGCATTTTTTTTCCTATTGTTTCAATTTTTTGTGCTTCATTGTCACTGAATCTACAATTTCAACTCATATTAATAGTTTCTAAAGCATCCAACTTCCTTCCTTCCATCAATAACCATCCTCAAATTCCAATCAAATTACCCCGTCCTCAAAAACCCAAAAGTCAATCAATAAACCATTTTTCATATCATCAAGTTAAAAAAATAAATCAAATTAAATTGAAATTATATCAAAAAAAAACCTTTCATCACGTGAAGTGAGAGATATGTACACAGAACAATAAAGCGAGATGAAGAAGAAGCTAAGAACAAGACATTGTTTGTCGGATCGTCATCAAACAAGAAGACAATGCGAACAAATTATATCTGTCAAATTGACATCGTAAAACAGCACATCATCAGTTCTTTTTATTTTATCTTTTTTTTTTGTGCCTTCTTCATCAACGGAGTGAAAAGCAATGAGACAGGCATTAAGACACACACAAAAAAGAAGGGAAAATGAAGAAATAAGACACGACTAAGGCTCATTTCTTGATGATTCAATAATATCTTTTTAAGTTTTTGTTGATTTAACTCTGCGAAATAAGGGAAAGAAGATGAGGAATTAAGAGGATCGGCATGGGTCTTTAATTAAATTGTTGCTCAATCTCTTGATTTTTTTCATCGTAAGGGTTCACGTCCGATTTTTTTCAGGTATAAAAAAAAGATTTTTTTTTGATTTTTCAACTCACCAGCAAGTCTATCTTTTAATGCTAAGGCTGCGGCCGGATGTAAAGGAAATGCAGGATGTAGAGCGTGTGGTGGATAGCCACGTTGTGGCGGCACACGAAGAACACCGCTTGATGTATACAATGGATATGAGTAAATGCCACCAGTCGCTGTATATTGAAGTCCACTACTACTAAATGCTAATTTACCACTCTCAGAATCACTTAAATCTTTTTCTACACTCTTTCTATCACTATCAATGTTGTTATTATTGTGATTATTTAGATTCTCACTACTACTTGATTTTGATAATAATCGTGATATACTAAATGGAAGATTTGCACTTGTTGAACGCATTTGATCGCGTCGTATGTGATGATCGCTGTAAAAAAAAAGATGAATTATTGTAAAATTAGTTTAGATCAGTGTTGAAATGACAGACGTCTTCCATAGACAAAGACTACAGAATCTTTAAAAGATTTTATCTTTATGAAGAATTTATCTTCCACAGATTTTTGTCTGCATGTAGATTAAAAAAAGTGTCTACATGCAGAATCTGTCTTCCAAAGAATTCTGTCTTCCACAGATTTCTGTCTGCATGTAGATTAAAAAAGTGTCTACATGCAGATTCTGTCTTCCAAAGAATTCTATCTTCCACAGGATTTGTCTGCATGCAGATTATTATATTTTAATGAAAAAGTGTGGTTTTACAATAAATTAACAATAATAAGTACTTTTAACGGTCAAATCATTTTCAAATTTTCCCGATTGTTTGATAATTTTTTTATAAAAGAGACTTGTCAGAGGAAGTGAAGAAGAATCCACATTAATTTGCAAAAAAAATTTCGTTGTTTTATTTTGCATCCTAAATCTTTCTATGTGTTTTTCATTTAAAAATATTTATTAAATATCAAAATATAATAATCTGCATGCAGACAAACCCTGTGGAAGACAGAAATCTTTGGAAGACAGAATCTGCATGTAGACACTTTTTTTGATCTACATGCAGACAGAAATCTGTGGAAGACAGAATTCTTTGGAAGACAAATTCTGCATGTAGACACTTTTTTTAATCTACATGCAGACAGAAATCTGCAGAAGATAAATTCTTCATATAGAAAGTGTCTTTTTGCAGAAGTATAGGCAGATTTCAACACTGGTTTAGATTAATTGAAATAAGGCTTGAGGGATTCTCAAATTGTGAGCCACAGACACACATAACCTCCGAACGACCCCCAAAAGCAGATTACTTTAAGCTCCATAAAAAAAAATCTTGCAATAACAATAAAAGGTCTCTCGTCCATAATTGAATCGAGATTAAACGAGTAATTAAACTTAAACGCTTGACATTATTAATTGCCTACTTAAGAAATTATAAGAGAACTTGCGCTACATATGACTAAGAAATCATTACTCATTTTAGTTTCGTTAATTTTTCATTAAATCTTCCATCAACGGCTGAGCTTGTTATTAAACTCGACTTACTTTTTAATTCCATATCAAAATAAGTAATCACTTTAATCGAGTCACTTTCATAGGTGCTCAATAATTCAGTCTCATTTCAATTTGCTCTTAATTCCCATATTTCGAAACTTATTTATCGAATTTTTTTTTTTTTTCGATACATTAAAGCGCTTGCAGACAGCAAAAATCGTAAAATAACATTAAAGCTTAATGACAGAGTGAAAATGTTTGTTAATAAAGTCACCAGACATTTTTTTTCTCTTCTCTCCTTATCAATTTCTTTTATAATGAAACTGGTTTTGTGTCTCTTTGTTTTGTGTTGCTGACTTGACATAAACAATGCCAAGAGCGAGTCTGTAAACAGCTGAAGAAAATGTTTTATGAGCGTAAATAAGGAGAATTTGTGGAATTTTTGTAGATTAAATTGGTATTAAGGGGGTTTTTTGGAGTTGATTTCTTAATGTTGTGGACTAGATTATACTTAAGAATGGGAGGTTCTGGCTTAAATCTGTTAAGATTCGATGGGTTGTTGGATTTAGTTAAGATATATCATTACTATCCCTTCAAGGAGTCGTTCAGTTATTACAAAACGCAAGAATCGATTTTTCAAAACCATTTCCTCCCCCTTAAAATCATTCGAACTTAAAAGAACAACTAGCTCGCTACAAAACAACAACAATTTAAATTAAAAGTCAATCTTCCATTTCTCACAGAAGTCTCAGACATCCATATCAATATTTTGCTCAGTCAGCATCACAAAACTTGTTCAGCTACTAGCTACTACCTTTTAATTACAAACAACAAAGTAGCTTTTAATTCCACATTCAATTAAAAAAAAAAGTCTAGCAAATTAGTTAACACACAATTTCATTTTCATTCCCATATAACGCGTAGTAGTGATTAAGTAAACGACAAGAGGGGAGTTTATTATTATTATTAGTAGAACTTACTAGCTTAGGATTGCTTATATTTCGATTTAGTGCTGATTTACTATTTGAGTGTTTTAAAATTGCTAATTGAAATTTAAATGATATTCAAAACAATGTTGGGGAGATCTTAGTCAACTTAGTTGTGAAAATAAGATTTACTGGGGACTGATTTCTAGTGCTACCAAGGAAAACTTGTCCTTGAATCTATAAATCTATGTACTAAACTTTGTAGTATGTAAAGAGCATGAATAAAGTCCTACAATCCTTAGCCTAGTCACTGTTACACCTAGAAACTATCCTCAAGACCTAGTCCTACCAAAAATCAGTGCTAGAAACCTGATTTCTTTGATTGTAGAATCATTATTCAAAAGTTGGATGCAAAGATTCTCCCACCATTCCCATAACTAAAGACTTCAACACTAGAGCTAGAAGTTCTTTACATTCATCAAATAAATCACAGATTCCAACTTTGACGGGTCCCCAAATTCCCCTAGTTTTCATTTAAATCTAAACCCAACAATACTTTTCTTCTCATTCCCAGTCCAACTAGATCCAGCTAGTGTTTAGTAATGTGCATAAAACAGCCTCATAATGGAATCGAAACTGCATTTGTGACTCGATAAGTATTGATTCAAATGAATGTGCAAACACTGAATTATGATCGTCATCTATACTGACTAAAATACATTTATTTCTACATCCACAGCCTATGTTCTTTAATGCTTATTTAATTCACGTTATAAAGGCACTCAGGAATTAGTTGAATGTTAATTTGAATTCACTTTAGATAAGGCTTGAAATATAATATACTCTGTGTGTATGTATGGACTTACTGTGAAAATGTATTATCGAATGAAATATTAAAAGAGAGATTTTTTTTTTGGTCTCCAGCAAGGCATATGATGTTGTATGTATAGAGTTATAAAAAAGCATTTAGAGTGGTGCAATTTATATGCTAATTAAAATATTATTCGCGGATTAAGGAAAATTGAGAATTAAAAGAGAGACCATAGAGACATTATAGACATGTAGTAACGATATAAATGAGACATTTTTAGTAGGTCGAAATTTGTTACTTCTTTTAAAAAAATAGTTTTGGCGATAAGAACATCTTTTTTATGTGTGTGGCAGGAAAAATTTTGAAAAGACATCAAAATAAAATTATCATAAAACGTTTAAGTTTTATCTTTCTGGGTATTTTGTGGAAACATGGATTTGTTTTGGAATCTTGCCTCAAATTTATGACAGTCAATTGATATTAGACTGAGGCACGTTGCATGAAAATTAAGTAATATTTCGATGGATTTTTTTTTAAATTTAATCTTTAAAGTGTATAAAATTTACATTTAAAATATTTAAATAGAGGATTAACCATTTAGAGTTGGAGATTGCATGTCGCATGAACAAGAAATATTTGAAATATAAATATGGTTTTGCATAGAAATAAGGCTATCGTTTAAGACTTCAATTGATTAGAAAAAAAATGAAGTTTTGAATGTAGAATTTTAAGTTTTAATTTATAGATCTAAGTTAGGTGCAGCTTATTAAATGAACATTTTATGCTTGATGCTGTATTTTCTGTCTGAAAATTGTAAGATTTTGACCAATAGACTCGATTTGACAGCTCTAAACGCCCATAATTCCTATTTTTTGAGGTCATTACTAAACCATCTTCAAACCTTAAGTTCACAATTTTTTGTAATAATTTAAAAATTAATATTAAACTAAGATTCAGTTTAGGACTAAGATTGCAGTTTGTCGCACCCTGTAGAAACACATCTATTCGTTGGATTTCCTGCATTACTATTAAGTTAACATTAAATAAGAAACCAAATCTCACAATTTGAACCTTTGAATATTTTTTGATATTCTATGTTAAATCACTATAAAAATCATTAAATCCATTCGAACAACTCAATTCCTTACCTAATAACTGTCTCTGAATCATCATAACAACTTCCATTTCCATCTAAATCTATCTCCGATCCATTACTTCCATATGATATCCTAGAATCTGCATCGTCCACATCATCAACATTGATTTCTTCTTGGTCGTGATCCAGATCCTCATCTTCGTGCGTTGACATTTTCATTTGTGATGGGTTTTGAGAGTTTTTTTTTTATAAATTTTATTACTAAGCACCAAATTGTTTGTGATTGATTAAGTTTTGAGATTGTTGAAGGATTTATCAAATTGTTCTCATTGTTGATTTTAATTGTAGAAGTTTATTAAAGTGTTCTACAAAGTTTTAATGAATAAATTCGACGGGAATTAATAAGAATTGTAATTTAATAGTTTAAATGAATTTTTGTGGTTTAAACTTCACTTTAAATCACAAAACATCAGATTTATTATTTAATAATCACTCAATTGCACTTATTTATCTTATTTTGCACGATCTAAGCTATTAGCTTTATCTAGATTAACTGAATTGCAATATTTTTTAGTGATTTATAGTTTGAATAAGCTATAAATCATTTATAATAAGGTTGATTGTCTAGAATTCAAACAAAATGTTATTTCAATAATTTTATCACAACTTTTCAATGATGAATTGATTATTTTTTGTTGAATTTGTTTCTTTTGATGATTTTTAAGTTTACAACTTTCTTAAGATTTGTTTAAATTGTTGTCTTCAAAAATTATTATTATTAAGTTTTTAAAAATCCACTTTGAATTAAAGAATCTCCAAATAAAATTCTTCACAGAAATTCCACTAAGTTTATCAGTTCTTCATTAAATCCACTCAAAAATATCATCGACTAATCTTTCCACTTCAAAGGCTTAAACACGTTTAAATCGCGAACACGAAATTCATAATAAAAAATTAAGCGACGAACAAGCAAACAAATCCGAGTCTTGTTGTCCAAACTATGCCTCAATTTATTATTATTATTGTTTATATTATTACACGATAGCTATTAAATGAACGACGAGAAATAATAAGAAGAACTAATGACTGCTCTATTCAAATAAAAGGTCTATCGTCGCAACAAAATAACTTTTTCTGATGAAATCGCACACTCGACAAGGAAATTAAATCTCCTGAATATTTTTTCACGTTCGTTGAGCTCTTCAGCAACACAGATACTGATTTTTAGTTTGTTGTTTTCGAGATGTGGTTCAATTCATTTTTTTTTCATCGTCTTTACTTCTTTCCCTCGTCATTCGTATCCGCCCACTTTTGTAATCCATTGGTTTAAACCAACACAATTACAGGAACGGATGTGTAGTACTTGTGTATTTAAATAAAATAGAGTCTTTAAATATATCGACTTTTCATTTCTACATGATGAATACTTGAAGAGGTTTTTCACTTGATTATCCATCCGCACACAGTCGAACACAGCAGTTGTTGTTGTTATATCAATTTAATCAGTTTTTTTGTTTCTTTTCAATTTGTAATTTTTGTGTCTCTAAATTGAAGATAATTTTAACAAGCACAATTCTATTAAATATTAAATGAGAGTCTACAACAACAAAAAGAAGGAATAGCGATTTTTGGGAAATAATTTTCTTTTTTTGTGCTGTTTAATTTAAGTTGATGAGGAAGACAAAAATACAAAAAATAAATTGAATTTGTCATTCATTGAGTAAACTTTTATGTTGATTACTATTTAAGCGATTTGACAGAGACATTCTTTGTGTTTACTTTCAATGCGACATGACTATAAAATTAGTAAAATGTATTAAGTAAAGATTGATTTGATTTTTAGACGATGAAAAGTAAAAGGAAGATTTAATGAACTGGATTAGGAATTGTTTTTGGATTTTTAATTGATTAGTTTTTAGATTGAAAAACTTATTGTCTAATTGCTTATTGAATGAAGTTGTTAAGCCTAGTTTTGGCAGAACCTTGTTTGAAAACACCTGGTTTGAAGCATGTTTGGAAAAAGATTGAGTTTAATTAGACTTGCTCAAAGCTAGCTTATAACCAATCTTATTCCTGACTTAGCTCAAACTTTATTCTTTACATTTTTCAATGTTTCAATCCATTAATTGAATTTTAAAAGACAAACAACTTTTCTTCTTATTAGGACAATTTTTCCATATTGAAATTTGATACGAACAATTCAAGTTCGACAGACTTATCGAAAGTCTAGGGAGCACAATGATTCAGATTCGGAAAAAATGTTCAAAAATTCAAAAATGACATATTAATTAAACTACATCTTTTAAATGCCAGATTAAAGATATTAACTTGAGGCATATTCAGTGAAAATATCTCGTTTTAATTTGATGTCTAACTCCAGAAATCTTTAATTTATTTTCAACAAAAATTTGTTTACATTTTGTATATGAAAAAAAAACTTTGATTTTCTCTAATTTAAGTTGTTATTTCCTTATCTTGCTAGCTGTTGTTTGCTACGTTAAGCTTAGATTTTCATATTAAAACTACCAAATCAAAAGAAAACTGCTTATTAAGTCTTAAAAATGCAATTGAAATCTGAGTTTTTTTACAAAAGTTAAACTATTCATAAGTTAAAAAGTCTTCCAAAGACCTCTTTGAAACCTATATTAATCAATTAATTAAGCTTAAATCTATCTCCCAAATTACTGAGGACATGCCGTTTTCGAGATATTTGCGATCAAAGTTTACATAAATTTTCATACAAAATTTGATCATGCACAATATTTTTTGATAAACTTTTACAAACTTTTGTTAAAAGAATCAAATCAAGAGAAATTAACAAAAACTTTAAATTTTCTAATGTGTCGGAAAAATATTGTGCACAAGGAATTTTTAAACATTTTTTTCCGAATCTGAATCATTATAATTATAATATAGGTTATAATATACACGTTCGAAAAATTTAAATTTAAAAAAATCGTTACAATTTTTATTCATTTTATTAGAATTTTTGATAGTTTTAAAAAAGATTTAACTTTATTTTGCCAATCTATAAACGATTTCATAATATTTCATCTAATTTTCATATAAAACTTGCTTAATGTAAGTTTTTATTTTTTCCTAGTTTTCGAAAATTTTGAATTGCAGGGTATGAAATTTCGAATTATATATGACAGACAGACAAATAAAACATTTTCACAAACTTTCTTGGAAACTGTAATGGTTGAAATTCTCGAATTGTTCGTATCAGATAAAAATAATAAAGTTTCAATCAATAATATCGCAATAATCAGATACCTATAGAAACCTATACACTCTTTAATCCAATGTAAGCAAAGAGAACAGAGTCCGTTACAAACAAAAAAAATTCAAAATTTTCGCGCGGTATTTTTTTAAAATTTCAAAATAAGAAAGTCTGTTACTTTTTATTTTTTTTTAAACTAGGTGTTTTTTAAAGCATAAACATTTAAGGAATGCAATTTCATCACAGTGATTATCTTAATCATAAAAACTAGTAAGAATGTTCACTAAAATTACAAATTACTCGAAAAATAATAATTCACAACGAATTTTTTTAAAAATAAGAACTTCGAAGATTCGATTTTCGAAAAATAAGAACCTCGAAAATTCGAAGTTCGAATAATAAGAACTCAAAAATTTCTGTTTGCTAGCATTGGTCTTTAATGTTTAAAATTTAACTCCCAACATTAAAAGATTTTTTTTTAATTTTCACCATTTCCAAAACTATTCACACTCCTTCCGAAATATATATTTCAGTTTTTTTATATCCTTGCCTTATAAACATTTAATTCAATTACATTCACATGAATTTTAAATCTAAATGACTTGAACTAGAAAGCGATTCGAAAATAAAAAAATCATAAAAAGCAAGAACAATTGAAATTTATTAACAATTTCTCGGTAAATACAGTGGAAATGAAAACGAAGAGAAAAACAAAAAAGTTTTTATGGTTTTTCATTATTTGCGATATTTCATGGAGCTCATATCCTCGGCATTTATTTTGTATTCACGTATGAGATGCTTTTATTTTTAATTTCGGAAACTCTGGAGAGGAGAAGTAAGAAAAATAAAAATCAGTAGAAGGCACATTCATATTCAATAAGCGTACTCCCTTGCATTGTTAAGTGGCAAAATAAATTTCAATAAAAGCCAAGAACTTTGTGTATAAGGCAGCAATAACATGCGCTTGAAGAATCATATATGAAGAGATATCATTGATATTGCAAGCCATTACCGGTTCAGCGAGAGAGAGGAAGTTTCATGGGATTCATTAAAATTACATTTAGAATCGAAATTGGCTTTTTATTGTTACCGCGATATGTTCTGTTGTTTGTTTCTTTTTTTTCTTCTGTTTAATGCTGTATAGTTGTTGTTGGATGAAATTTTCATTGCGTTGTATTGAAATGTTGAAACTTTTCTAATCGAAATTTCTAATTTAGATGAAAGCTGATGATATCATGACAAGCTTTGTTCTGGAATTCTGGTAGACCTGTAACTATTTGAGAATCATTTGTCCGTTAAGTTTGTGATTTTGAGACTTGAACTTAGAATCTTTTATTTTTGTTTAGATAAATCGACTAGAATTCTACTCAACTTAGTCTTGTACTAGTTTGAATCTAGTTTTGACTTTGTATTGATCTTTTTTTGATCTTAAATTGATCATATCTTGACCTAGTCTGAACCTAATCTGAACCTTGCTTGAACCTGGTCTGAACCTAATCTTAACCTACTCTGAACCTAGTCTGAGCTTAGTGTTGATCTTAAATTGATCTTGCCTTGATCTTAAATTGATCTTGTCTTTATCATGACGTGGCCTAGTCTGAACTTAGTCTTGACTTAGTTTGAACCTAATCTGAACCTAATCTAAACCTAGTCTGAGCTTAGTCTTGATCTTGTCTTGATCTTATCTAGATCTTGTCTTGATCTTGTCGTGATCTTGTCTTGATCTTGTATTGATCTTGGCGTGACCTAGTCTGAACCTAGTCTAAACCAATTCTGAACCTGGTCTTGAATTAGTCTGAACTTAATCTCAACTTAGTTGACTTCGAACTTTGTTTGTAAGAACCTGATTTTTAATTCAAAAGAATTTAGCTAATAAACTTTCAGAGTTGCATTGTTCTTTGCGAATTGTTTGAGTTAAGTTCAGAATCCATCTTTCAACAAAACAACTTACTGTCTAACCTTCCACATTCTCTTAACATTTCTTTTTACCATTCCA